AGCATACTGTCTCAACAGGAAGGTTCTGAGGTTTGTGGCGAGAGCTTGGGACCCCTGGCGGATGCAACAAATGTACTAGTATCACCATGGGATCATTTTAGTCTCTCTTCCACTTTTCCTCTCAAGCTGTTCCCTTGCCTGCTGTGCTGGATCTGGGCTGAAAGACCCTGGCCCTTCTGGGTAATTTCAGAATAGCCATGTCGTTCATGGTGTCCTGGCGTGGTACAGCTGGTCACGGGCACTCTCCCTGGCAAAAGCCTCTTTGGGAGGACCTCTTGTTCCAGGGTCTGGTCTAATCACTCTTTTACTGTCTCTGGTTGGATGGCATGGCTATTGCAGCTGTGGTTTGAGGAACAGGATTGTTGGGATCCATGATCCCTGATGTTTAGGACATGCAAGTCTACCTCTCGGGAGATGTCACATGGAAGGCTTATATTCCCTGGTGCAGTGCTCTGGGTGTACGTCCCATGTTAATTCTTGGTGGATTTGGATTGGGTTTGGCCTTTCTCCAATGGGGAGTTGCACAACAGCTTGCTGTTAGCATTACAGGCAGGTTTTTCTGCCCTTGCGGCCTTTTTTTTTTTTTTTTTTTTTTTCCCCCCCCCCCCCCCCCCCCCCAAGTAACCCCTCGCCATACATTCCTTGCTCCGCACTTTCTTCCAATGGGTTCGTCATGTGTTTTCCCTGTTGTAGTCATGGGACCTGAACCCGATATATTTTGGTCCTCCAGAAGTTTCACTTTTGGGGCTCTTCAGGGTATTCCCTTGCTTACGTTTTTATTTGTTGCAATCATTCCTGCGAGACCTGTGTCGGAACTGGCAGCCTTTATCCTGTGAGTCTTCCTCTCTGTTCTTGCTCTAGGATCAAATGGTTTGCCATCTGTGACCTTCCTTTTTTTCCCCCCAAGGTGGTGTCGGGTGTTGACCTGACTGAAGACATTGTCCTGCCCTTTTTTGTGTCCATGGTCCTAACATCCTAAGGAGGTTTCATTGCACTCCAGGGATGTGGTTGGGGAGGTCTCATGTGGGTTTGTCGGCTATGACCTCCTTCTGGAGGTTGCGCACTTATTTATTTTATTTCAGATACTTGTATAGCACCGTCAGTTTACGAGGCCTAAAATAAGTAACATTCATACATACTACCAATTTAGACAGGATCCAATTAACCTACCAGTATGTCTTTGGAGTGTGGGAGGAAACTGGAGTACCTGGCGGGAACCCGCACAGGGAGAACATGCAAACTCCAGGCAGGTGGTGCTGTGGTTGGGATTCAAAGCAACGACTCTAGTAGTGCCATGTGGAAGTGCTAACTATTTAGCCACTGTGCTGCACACTTTTTTTTTTTTTTTTTTTTTTTTTTTTTGGGGTTACTTGCCATGAAATCCCTTTCTGAGTTAGTTGACGGACACAGATTGTTCTTCTTTACTAGGGGTTCCCTATAACATGGTAAATCTTCATTTTTGAATTCAGTTCACTTTCAAGCAGAGCAAACTCTTTTGTTGGTCCTCAGGGCTTTTGTCAAAATATGATTATATGCACTATATGTTTGGCCTATTTTGCCAGACTTGCCTACGAAAAAGGCCTCCCCAGTGATTGCGTAATTTCTGATGTCATTTTTACATGCTCACCTTCAGGCAATTTACAATCATTAGCTGTTGTAATGGCCAACTTTCCAATATGAATAGAAACCAGTTTAGTGGCTAATCCATATCTGTATTTTATTTAGCCTGTGCCACCTGCTATGACCAGAGTTACCAGACCAGAAGTCAAAATAGATGCTTCAGTTTTTTTCTACTCGATCTCGGCCTGCACAGGTGAGTTCTAAGATGTGTGTGGATTGGGGGGGGGGGGTTGTGTGTTTTGGTTATGCCATGTGACAGCATCCCCAATATATCTTTCTATTTTGTCAGACTTACCTACCAAAAGGTCTCTAGTGATGTGACTGCCATGGTTTCCCTTGTGTGTCACCATTACCATATTTGGCCCCAGACAGTATAAAGCTGGCCATAGATGGATCAAATGTCAGTCAGTTCAGCAGGGACCAGCCGAGGTTTTGATCGATCGACTTAGAAATACAAAATACTGGTTGTTCCCATTGTGCCCCGGAGCGACTATGGCGCAAAACCAAATCCCAACAAGCCTTCACCCGCTACAAATCTGCCTTCCACACCTACACCGCCTCCCTCCACGCAGCCAAACAAGCCTACTTCCTGACCCTCACCAAGGCCCTCTCCTCCAATCCTCGCCGACTCTTCTCCACCTTCAACTCTCAACTCTCGCCACCTCCTCCCAGCACCTCACTCACTGCCCTTGAGATTGCCAATCACTTTAAAAAACAAGATTGACACAATTCACAAAGGACATCGCCGCAACTCTCACACACCCTCTCAACCCGTCCCCTCTCACACAGCTACCCCCCTCACCCCCCCCCTCTCCCTCAACATAACCCGCAGGGACTTCGTCGCTGCTCAAACTTCCTCCAACCCCGTTCCCCCTAATCACCCCTCTCCCACGGCCCCACCACTGCTCTGACCTCCACTTCCACCCCACCCTACATTCCTCATACTGAAGCCCCCCCAACACTTCGCACCTTTGACCTTACTACCATCGAAGTCTCCAAGATCCTCTCTGATGCCCGCCTCGCCACCTGCCCCCTCGACCCTATCCCCTCACAACTCCTACGACCTTCCTCCCCCTCCATCCTACGCTCCCTCACCCACATCTTTAATCTCTCCCTCTCCTCCGGCACTTTTCCCTCCTCTCTGAAACATGCACACATCACCCCCATACTTAAAGCCCTCCCTGGACTCCAATGACCCAAACAACTTCAGACCCATCTCCCTGCTCCCATTTACATCCAAACTCCTCGAGCGCCTAGTCTACACCCGCCTAAGCTCTCACCTCAACGTCAACCTCCTTGATCCCCTACAGTCCGGCTTCCGTCCCCTACACTCCACCGAAACTGCCTTACTTAAACTCTCCAACGACCTGCTAACTGCCAAAGCTAATGGCCACTATTCAGTGCTCCTACTCCTTGACCTCTCTGTGGCCTTCGACACAGTCGACCACCCCCTCCTCCTCAAAAAAAAAACTACACACCCTTGGCCTGAGAGATTCTGCTTTCTCCTGGCTCTCATCCTACCTGTCACAACGCTCTTTCAGCGTTACCTATAATGCTACCACCTCCCCCTCTCTATTGGGGTCCCTCAAGGCTCCGTCCTCGGGCCCCTTCTTTTCTCCATCTACACCTCCTCCCTTGGCCAACTCATACACTCTCACGTCTTCAACTACCACCTCTATGCCGATGACACACACATCTATCTCTCAACCACCCCCCCCACCTCACCACCTCCGTCTCCGCCCGAATCACACACCTACTGAGCGACATATCTGACTGGATGTCGCTCCACTTCCTTAAACTGAACCTCTCCAAGACCGAGTTGCTTGTCTTCCCCCCAGCCCGGACACCACCCCCCCATTGACTTCTCCATAACATCCAACAACGCCACCATCAAACCCGCCCCGCAGGCCAGAGTACTTGGTGTCATTCTGGACTCCAACCTATCCTTCCAGCCCCAAGTCCAATCTTTAACAAGCTCCTGCAGACTCCACCTCCGCAACATCGCCAAAATACGCACGTTCCTAACTCCAGAAACCACTAAACAGCTCATCCACTCCCTCATCATATCACGACTCAATTACTGCAACTCCCTCCTTACTGGCCTGCCTCGCCGCTGGCTCTCCCTGCTTTAGTCGATCCTGAATACGGCTGCCAGACTCATTCACCTTTCCAATCGCTCCGTCTCTGACCCCCCCCCCCCCCCCCCCCCCCCCCCTCTGCCAATCCCTCCACTGGCTTCCGATTGCGCAACGGATCAAATTCAAAATCCTAACCCTGACGTACAAAGCTGTCCACCATACTGCCCCGAACTACATCACTGTCCTAATATCCAAGTACCGCCCAGCACGCACACTCCGCTCCTCACAAGACCTCCTTCTCTCTAGTTCACTGGTCTCCTCCTCCCATGCCCGCCTCCAGGACTTCTCCAGGGTGTCACCCATCCTCTGGAACTCCCTGCCCCAACCCATCAGATTATCACCTACTCTCCTCTCCTTTAGGCGCACCCTGAAAACCCATCTCAGGGAAGCCTACACCACCCCCTCCTAACCTGCCGACCTCCACTCTTCCTACCACTCCATCCCCCACAGCTATCTCCTCCTGTGCCACCATCCCCTCCCTCCTAGATTGTAAGCTCGAAAGAGCAGGGCCCTCGATCCCCTCATGTTTTGCATTGTATTGTTGTTCTGTCTCCCTTTGTAATGTTCAGCGCTGAGCGAACTATTGGCGCTTTATAAATACTGCATAATAATCATATGATTATTGCCAGCTGTTATAGCCATTAGCAAAAATCATTGTCTTCTTCCAGCAGGGGTGGCTTCCTCGGTCAGGGAAAACAGTGGCTCTGTGGAGTGGTGGGATTCCCACATTGAGACACTGGCTGTGTTGATGGGGGTAGTCCAGAAAACGCCCCCACCCCCTTACAAAAAAAAACTGCATGCTGTCATTGTAGCTAATATCTGTGGGCCCTGAATTCTAGCATGCCCATTTGTCTTGACAAAATGCCTCCAGGTCATGCAAAAGTCTTTGGGGAGATTGCAAGATGACCAGAGTGGCTTAATGAAATTTAAGGTCAGGAGACTAATGGCCACTCCAGAACCTTCACTTTTTTTTTTCTTTTTTTTTTTTCCTCTTCTGTTGCAACTACTTGAGGGTCAACTCGGCCTTGTGCTTGGGGTCATTGTTATGATGGAAAGTCCAAGAGCATCCCATGTGCAGCTTTTGTGAAAATTGTCTGCCATCATTTTCTGATAACACGCTCAGGTGTATTTTTCAATATCAATCCCAACATTTCATGTTTTCTGCCAGGGTATGCAAACTTTTGAGCACAACTAGGTGTATATTCTATACCTAACATAATACATTTATTTTATTTTTCTCAGACTGTGCAACCTGCTGTGACTAGAGTTACCAGATCAGCAGCCAGAATAGATGTTCATAACCCTCTATCTCGGCCTACACAGGTAGGTTCTAGGGCTCCCCCAATACCCCTTTTGAGCTAAATCAGTTTGAGCTTGGAAGCCAGAAAAGGTTTCTCAAAGTTGTGATCATTGTTGCAGGTGCCTGTACTGAACAAAATTGTTGAACAAACCTCTTCAAAAGGACATGGGCAAATGTCTGCCCCGAAAAAGAATAAGGAAAACAAAGGTAATGGTCATATAAACTTCAGTTTCTAAAGGCTACTAATGGCTCTCTAAAAGGCTTGTTCCTTTTTGTTTCAATGGGTTTTGTATATAAATGATCTTTTTAAAAGCCACAATGGCTATCTAGCCAAATGGTGGGGGTTTTTTTTTTTTTTTGTTTTTTTTTGTTTTTTTTTTTTCCTGAGGTGGCGATGCTCTAGGCCATATCACAATCTGCAATATGGAATGACTAACTGTTCATAGTACCCACACTTTTTTCTCTACTTTCCTCCTTCCTTTCCCTTTTAGTCACAGCTATTCCGTCTGCTAGGACTACAAGAGCAACAGCTGCTTTAGCTGCCACAAGTAGGCTTCCAACAGTGAAGGCAATAAACACTTCAGGTAACTGATATGAAGGCAGTAATCTTGCTGAAGTTCAATGCAGTTTGTACTGACTAATTACATTGTGTGGTTTTTTTTTTTTTTTAAAATCCCAATTTGTGTACATGAAAGCCTTTTGAGAATAGTCAGTGTTTTCACCATTTTCTGTATTCCTGTGTTTTGTTTTTTTTTGTTTTTTAGTAATGGCCAAGCTTCACAAAAGAACAACCAAAGTGAACTCTGAACAGGAGTCTGCTTTACCAAAACCAAAGGTAAGGGTTTAGTACCATACACACGACCGTGTCCAAATAGTACTTGTAGCATTGAATGCATCTGTCGTGCCATCTCTATAGTTTGCTATAAATTTATTTTTTTCTTTTAAATATAGCATTCTGAAAAAATGCCACTGTGGCGTAAACTGTTCTCTAAAATCTTTATTTCCTAATGTACATAGCACTTAATTGCTGTAAAGTGCCAGCTATACAAAAGAGCTGAAACTTGAGCAGGCGAGAGCTAAAATGACTGTAGGCCAGGGCCAGATCTAGCCTGTCCAATGTGGGGGTGGAGTAAAAAATTGTTGGGGGCGGCAGAAGATGGGAGGCCAGCAGGGCAGTGTACAGGAGGTCACCAGGATAGAGACATCACTTTGTAGGGAAGGGGAACAGAGGCCATTAACTTGTAGAGCAGGGTACAGGAGTTCACAGGGCAAAGAACAGGGGTCAGTGGCAAGGAAGACAGAGGTCATTGCTTGTAGGGCAGAAGATAGGAATCACTTCTGGCAAGGCAAAGGTAGGACTCGCTGCTGGCAAGGCAAAAGGCAGAGGTCAGGGGTCACTGCTGGCAGGGAAGAGGATAGGGGTTACTGTGGGGAGAACTCAGCAGAGGTTAGGGGTCACTACTGGCAGGGCACTCAGCAGGACTCCTTTTCCCATCCCTGCACTGCACACAGGCTGGGCACAGGCAGCAAATCTTTTCCTCACCACACATTACACATAGCTGAGATTGATCTTAACCGTGTGTAGCTGTGCTACCATACTGACCATGGAATTTCGCAGGTCAGAACTGCAACATAGTAGCCAACTACACATTGTACAGATTGTGGCTGTATGTAAGGGAATCTGATCTGAGCTATGTGCTGTGTGGGGAGCAGGAGCTCTGCTGCCTTTGCCCAGGTTGTGTGCAAAGATAGGAGTTCAGCATAGTTGTCAACATTTTAAAAACGTTTCCAGGGTCACCTTTTTTTCGCTATTCGCCCAGAAAGCCACTGTAGATGAAGAATCTACTTAAATTAAGCATGAGGCATTCATTTTAAGACAGTCGTGGTTTTGAAAGCAGCATATCATTAACCTAATGTCATACTTTAATCACAAATATATGAGAGATGTAGTTATGCTTGTTCAGCATAGTGGCAGGTTGGGGCAGTATAATGGCAGGTTAGGGCAGTGTGGTGGCAGTATAGTGGCAGACTGGCTAAGTATTGTGGCAGATTAGAGAAATATGGTGGCAGGTTGGGGCTGTGTGGTGGCAGGTTGGGGCTGCATGTAGTGACTGTGTGCTCAGTCACTTACAGTACAGCATGGCTGAGGGTGAAGACTTCCCGGGGCTTGGCTGCTGCTTCCTGCGTGAAGGAGTCAGTGGGAGGAGTGGAGCAGACAGCCAAACTATTGCAAAAATCACCTTCCCTCTCGCCTTCCTTCTCCCTCTCCCTCTCGTCACCATGACTGTACTTGGAAGTAAGGTAATCTTTCTACCAGAGATTCCAAACATCAATAAAACATGACTAGTTATAACCCTTCTACTCTCATACGAAGTCTTAAAATGGATTATAAGAAGCCATGCTTCCTTTTTAAGCCTGCTGTACTTGACCAAGAGAAATCTGAAGAGTTGAAACCAGAGGTTGCCGTTGAAGAAAAGCTGAAGCCAGATATTACCATTGAAGTGACAGCTGTGGAAAGTGAGATCCTTACAGAAACCTCTGTACGAGAAGAAAGAAAGCCATCCTTTGCTCCAGAGAATTTTGTGTTTCAACCAATGGATGGACTATCAACTTTCAAGTTCCAGCCAATGACCCCCAAAAGAGCCAATGCTTTCTTAACACCAACTTTCACATGGAGCCCTGTAGATGGTAAAAGGTAGGTCTACTGAAGTAAGGATTTGGGGAGGTTCGTTTCAAATTTTAAAATTTTCTAGAGGAAACTGCGAAGACAAAACTTAGTATAAGGCAGAAAGACAGCATGACAGCTGTTTCAGTATGCAAAAAGAACTACTGCTATTTGCAAGCTTGTCCGAGGTCAGTGGCTTAGTGTATTGAAGCCAGTGGGTCTGTGTAGGAGTGAGGTAACCACTGTTAAGCTCAGATATATGCAGGTTCGATAATACGGTTTGGGATTTTGGCTTGAAGCTGTATTTAAACCCAAAACCAAAAATGTCATATATTACAACTTAATGATTTGATATGGTAGCTGAATTAATTAATTTTTTTTTTTTTTTTTTTTTCTTTTATTTCAGGCTTCCCTGACCCTCTGTTTTCACATGGTGATCTGGCCAGTAACACCTCCCTGTATTTGTGCTTCCACTCTGGACGAATGAGCACAGGGGGCACAGCAGACCACAACATTGTAAGCCAGAGGGGAGTGTTTTATGGAGTAAAAGCTTGAAATACATTGACGCAAAACAGCTTACATTTTAAGATGTTACAGCAAACCACTTTTTTTTTTTATTTCCATTATGGGATAAAATTGTTAAATAAAGATTGTACATTAAAAGCTGCCAATTGTTAGCACCTCTGCCTTTGGTGAATGGCTTGTCTTATCCATGTAAAATTATCTTCTGCTGGAGAGCTTTTTCTTCTGAAAAATACACTTACTGGCTGGATCACCAGATGAAAATGAAAGAATTAAAGCCCAAAAAACGAATGCAGTCATCACATCTAAGAAATGATCAGCTGTGTGTTTTTTGTTTTTTTTTTTAAATTGTTTTTGCTTTTGGGTTTAATACTGCTTTAAAGTGGTTATAAAGGCTCAAGGTTTTTTTACCTTCATCTATTCTATGCATGCCAGTTAAAGTCTGTGTGCAGCAGCCCAGCCCCAATACTTACCCGAGCTCCATCCACCAATGTGCACAAAAGCCTTTGCTTTCTGGGGACTCTCCATTATTTGCAACAGCAGCAAGAGCCATTGGCTCCTGCTGCTGTCAGTCACAGCCAGAGAGCTAATGAGAGAGGAGAGGTGGGTCAGGGCTGAGCCACAACTCTGTGTGTGAATGGACACTTAGAGCAGCAGATCGGAAGTGAGCCTGCTTGGGTTCCCCCCTAGAAAGCTGCTTGGCAGGAGGGAGGGGCCAAGAATGCTGGTGGAGGACTTGAGAACCCAATAGGAGGATGAGGGCTGCTCTTTGCATAACCACTGCACAGAGCAGGTAAGTATGACGTGGTGTTTTTTTTGTTTTGTTTTTTTTTTTGGGGGGGGGGGGGGTTCACAGCCTTTTTAAGATCACTTTAAATCGGAAGTTAGTTATCTTGCTCGATATCTCTCCTATCATGAATGTTTGTTTGTTTTGACTGGACATAATCTGTTAAGGCTGAGTAGAGAGCAAATACAAAAACTGTAATCCGTACCAGCCAGCCAATCGGATGCATTGTTTATCATTTTTGTCAAATAAAACAAATGCTCTACCTGTTTTTGGTGTTGCTAAAAAAAAAAAAATGTGTATGTATATATTTTTTTTTTTTTTTTTTTTTTTCGTTTTTCTTCACTTGCACTCACCCCCCCCCCCCACCCCAGGCTGTTTTTCTGCTATCACAGTGCTGCATTACTTTAACTGACAACTGCACGGTTGTGGAACAGTGTACATAACTGAAAATTTATCTCCTCCTCCTTTTTTTTTTTTTTTTTTTTTTTTTTTAATTTTAATACTAGCAATGGCGGCAATCAGCGACTTGTAGTGGGACTGCATTCTGACACTGGGAAGGAACTGACTAACTGCCACTGACATCCCAATGACACTAATACATGGATCAGTGCTAATAAAAAGCACTGACACTGGGCAGGAAGGGGTTAACATCTGGGGCGATCAGAGGGTTAAGTGTGTGGTGTGAGGAGAGAGTCTTGCCCCTGTCAGTGATACTCGGCGAGTCTCGCCCCTGTCGGCGATCGCAGGGTGGCGGTAGGGAATTTCCAAACGGGACCTGGTGACAACATCTGTAGCCGCATATGGCGGCACGTTCGCCTCCAACCTGTAAATGCAAAATCGTGTGTGTGTGTGTGCCGCCCTGCTGTCCTGTAGCAGTAGATCTGCTATAGTGTGATAGGGAAGCGGTTAATGATGGCAGCTCATAAACTGGCAACTGAGCCTTTTCACTATTTTATTTTAACAAAGCAACTTTGTGTTCACACGAGAGCATGAAACTGAAGAAAATAAGGTTCCTCAGGTGTCTCCTCCTGACTTGCCCATGA